TTGTCTATCTATAACAGTGATGCACAGCGATGACAGAGCTATCAATACATGCGCAACATTTTTGACTCAGTATGTGTGTACAAACGGAAACTGGCTGGTTGATAGCGTCGCAGATGTTCGGTGGCTTCGCACTCATAACTTGTACGTAAAAGCCGGGTGGCTTCGTGAGGCTCACGTGTACATGTCTGATCTATATGTATGTATATAACTTACGAGCAATTACAAAATTGCTTCTACAAAGCATATATGTACTTTTTATAAAAATCATTATAAAAGTTAGCTTTCGTAAAACTTGTTTACATATATGTATTTTTGACATCAAGTATATAAATAATAACACTACCATTAGCTTTTTACAATCTCCATTATTTAAATGCCTTCGCTATCAAAAGGTATTTTTTGAGCTAGTATTTATAAACATGACATCACTGATACACTTATTTTAATTTAACTATAAACCTTAGTAATACATAATTTATAAAACAAAGCACATTTTCTACAATATGAATGTATACTTTTTGCTTTTATATATATATATATATATAATACATTAAGATGTGCCGAATTTCTTTTGTTTGAATACGTCCGGCAGTTGTTCTATCAACGTGATAGGGTTCACACCAACTGCAACTAGCTCGTCCGTGCTAAGCCACCAGAGTGATATTAAATGCTGCAATTACATACATATAAAAGTTATGAAAATAAATTTTACAAGTAAACTCGCATAGCGTTAAAACGCCAAAATCGAATTTAACTTTATAAACAGATGAAACCCTATTCAAAACCCTGAAAAAATATTCTTAATGATTCATCCCAACCGTTTCTGAGTGGTTAGAGGTCTCGCATGGTGTCGGTTTTTATTTCATCAAATTTCAAATCTCCCTGTACCGCTAAAAATTTCTAGCTTCAAAAAATAAAACGTTATTGCACATCTATGCAGAATCCGAGTTCTTTAATTTGACTTTTCATTTTGGAAATTCGAAATACCAATGCAGATGTGATGATCGCAACCCTAATTAGAAATATTATCAGCCTAAAGTTTTCTTAAATCTCTTTCGTTTAACACTAATATTTCGATATTGCACTTATGTAGCTTCGACTTTTCAAACAGGTGGCAAAACCTATAAAAGTATTTTCAAACTAAACTCTTTTTATCGTCTGGCGGCAACCCTCTTAAAAACTATATTTGGGTGGCAACCCCGAATATAGGTCTGAAATAAAGGATTTTAAACCCATTTTCATTGATAACTATCGCTTAGTAATTCATTTAATTTATAAAATAATTTTAGTTTACACTTTTAAACTGTGGCAACCTTGAACATCAAAAATGTTCAATTCAAAAAAAAGTTCAAATTGTCCAATTAAATATTTCATAAAACTCTTTCATTTGACATACATGTTTTATATTTCATGTAACTTTGGTATAAAATAATTTAATTGGATTTCTCAAATATGTGGCAACCTTCCAAACTACTACCTCCTTAAACCTCTTTTGTCTGACACCGATATGGTGATACCTTATTCACTTACCAAATTCCTTTTATTAAAATTGAATTACATTTTTGATGTGGCAACCCTCCTACACGTATTTAAGATATAAAGCCTTTTCAAAACCATTTCGGTTGATATCCATATTGCAACAATTGATTTAACCTTTTAAATAATTTGAGCCTAATTTCTTAACTGGTGGCAACTCTTTTCGAAAAAATAAAACCTTATTGCACATCTACAACCCAAGCCCTTTAATTTAACACCTCACTTTTGAAAATCGCACGAATGGTGCGGATCTGAAGGCATTTATTATTAAATAACTTGAATGTAATTATTTAGGAGGTGGCAACTCTTTTCGAAAAAATTAACCTTATTGCACATCTACAGCCCAAGCACTTTAATTTAACACCTTTTTTGAGAATTGAACGGATGGTGCAGATCTGATGACCTGGACAAAAAATCCCTTCGCGTATTGTATATATAATAGAAGAAATGAAGAAACCAAATTACAAGCAGAACTTACCTCGAAGGATTTCTTGAACTTTAAACGCAGACCACTGACTTTGTTGTCACTATTTACACGCTTGAACTTTTTCCCAGCCTTCTTTTTCGGTGTTTCTCCGGCATCCTCATCTTGCCCGTTCTCTCCTTCCTTACTTGTCGTTTTTTCCAACACATATAAATACGCATCATTGTGTAGTATAATGTGGTTGGGATTGCGCTTATCTACTAACACATTTGAGACACAATGCGTTTCTGCGTTATCCACGAAATATTCCTGCTCCGAACAGGTGAAGCACATTTCTTCCAAGTCATATTCAATAATTTTACCATCGGAAAATGCTGCAACAAGACGTGGTTCTTTCGCATGTATCGCCAACGCAGTGGTAATAGCCGAGTAGCGTGGCATATTGAGATGGTGTTTGTAGTGTTTCCCTTGGAATATGCGCCACACACCAATAGTATGATCAGTACCTGTCGCTACTACGTATGTACCGCACTCTGACACAGCCAATAGATTAATAACGTCCTTTATGTGTTTGCTGGTTTCAATACTTTCTACAAAATCTAAGTCAGTACTACCATTGTTGACCACAGAAAATACATGTATTTGATGGGTATTGGGTTGCACGAGGAATAGGCGCCTAGAGTCGCTAGTAAATGTTAGATGGGAGGCAATGGTAAACTGTTCGGGCAGCCCTTTAATGCGCGCAAGTTGGGTATCATTTTTGCCGGCCACGGCTGGCACGAAACGGAATAGTCGTATATGCTTTTGTGTTGAATAGCACAACCACTGACTGTCGGGTGAAATTGTCGCGCAAACTATCGGCTCCTCATGTGTGCTTTTGAATTCTAACAATTTTTCAGGCGCTGAATTCAAGGCAAATAGTCTACGCTCTGGTGCTTTATTTTTGTGCTTTGGTTTGTTATCCTGCTCATCATCGGCAGATCCCTCAAATTGTGGTCTCCCATCTGTAGAGCCCAGACGCCATATCTCTAAATAGTTTGTATAACGAAGTAGTAATAGACGGTTGTTGGGTGATACAACAACACACGGGTTCTATAAAAATTAAAAATTCAATAAACAAAATTTTAATAAATACACACACTTTACAGGCGACACTCACTTTTAAGAATGGACCATATTTAGCTATTGTAGAGACACGTTTGCTGGCTGAAGATATACCTAAATATCCGTCCATACCGCCGGAATATATACGATCACCAGCACATATCAATGCCTTCACATCGTTGTCGTGCACACTACGTTGCAGATATTTAACCCAACAATTGTATTCCGTGTCTTCACGCTTGATTTTTGTTTTAGCATAGATTCTGATAATTGGCTCGATTCCTGAGCACATTAACATATTCTCTTCTTCATTTATAGCAACCGTTAGCACATCCGCTTTAAGCACTTGATGTGATTCTAGCTGTGTCGCCATTTTGCCATCCCATACTGTTACCTGTCCACGAGAATCGCCCGAAACGATAGTGAAATCACTTAGCACTTGAAGTGACCACACTATCACCTCCTTCTTTCTTTCCGCCCGTGCAACAGTCATTTTATGCAGCGCATGACCACTCTTAACATCCCATATTCGTATAGCACCTAAGGAGCCTGTCACGAGGAATTCCCCTGTACGGTCAAATTTGCAGCATAATACGCGTCCCTCTTGCTTATCAAATAGGTTCTTATACTGCATCTGATCATTGTCTATTTCAAATATATTGATATATCCTTCTTCAGTGCCGACAACCAATTCTGTGCCAGTTGAGTTTATATCAATGCACCAAATGGCATTGCCTGTGACAAATTGCTTGCGCCTTGGTTTGAGCAAATGCAAGTCCCATTCAACCAATTCGCCAGTAAGACCGACGGAAAAGAAACGCTCACCAGCCCATGCCATGCCCTCAACGGAGTTCCCAGGAGACTTGGGTATAACTTTTTCCAAATAGGCGGAATATTGCATATCCCATATTTCGATAGAGCCATCATTTCTAATTAAATAGGAGTTAAATGATTTATTTGTTGGTAAAATGTGGTTATCCTTACCGCGTAATAGCTAGTTTGTGAAAGAGCTTATTATAAGCCATGCTTTGTATGGAGCGCGGCGAGAGATTGTAAAAACGGACATTATGAGTTCTAGTACTCCCAACTTCAACTTTTTTACTATTCATTTTAATTTTTAACGATTTTATCACGGATTTTAAATGTGTGATTGGTAAAAAAAGTGCGGTTCTATTGATAATAAACAAATGTCAACACGTGCGAATCAAGTTGCGGAACGGCCGAAATGAAACGCACTGGGAAAGTGACAGCAGTAAAATGCGCAGAGTTGCAGTATGTGCTGGTTAACTTTAGTTACATGCAAAAATATCCGGGTTTTTTTTGTTGTAGGTGGTTATCACAGAATTTAACGTAGTCCAATTTTTCGAGAAATCTACGAAACAGCTATCACTGAATCAAAATATCCATTTGTGAACGTGTGTAATCTAAGTATACGTAACGTTCTTAGCTATTTTTTATTCACAAATAGCATATTCGTGGATTTTTCAGAAAATCTGACTACGCTAAATTCAGTTATAGACCTGTATATGAAATTGAATCAAAGCGCTTTGGGATTTACTTTTTAACCCTATTTATCCCTTAAATGTTTAAGTTATATTTAAACAATAATAAAAAGTTAAAAGTGTTCTGCCGAGACATGAAATCTTTGTTTGGTGCTACATTTTCCTGATGGAAAGCAAAGAACCGAGTACGTTCGCAAATGTTACTGCAACAGGCGTTATGTCAGAATACTTTTGACACTCACAGTAATTTTCGTTTTGTATATCTCATAGTATTTTGGCAAAATTTTTCGCAGATATTTCCTAATTCACACAGAATACTAATTAAATTAATAAGTTCTAAAGTACTTTCGATTATAATTTAATTAAAGCAACATCCAATTGGAGTTAAAAAAGATGAGACGGTAAAAGTGTTTAAAAAGCAAAAACATTTAGGGAATTGCTTAATTATTTAATAGCGGAAATTTGCAAGCTGCTGCAATGCTATACTTTAATTCGAGCAACCGAATAAATAGTACTTCATTATGGAAGCCGCTTTTTAGTAAGTGTAACTCTCTATAAATCGACTATACATCCCTCCTCATGCATATTTATTTCCAGTGTTGCTAGCCATATTCGCCACACCACTTACCCATGCAGCCCACGCAGAAGCTGCGCGAGTTCTTGAACTGAGCGATCGTTTCTTGGAAGTGTACAACCAAGGACAATGGCTAGTGATGTTTTATGCACCATGGTGTGGTTACTGCAAACGCACAGAACCTATTTTCGGACAAGTAGCGCAAGAATTGCATGGACTGAATATACGCGTAGGCAAAGTTGACTGTACTCGTTTCACCAATGTGGCACGTGAGATGAAAATTCGTGCCTACCCAACGATTATGTTCATCAAAGGCAGCGCAAAGTATGTGTATAATGGTGATCGCACTAAGGAAGAATTGGTGGATTATGCACTGCGTATGAGTGGCCCTCCCGTACAGCTAGTTACACGCCCGGAAAGTGTTGATATGCTTAAGGGTTCTCACACTATATTCTTTATTTTCGTTGGCCAACAAGAAGGTATTTTGTGGGAATCGTATAATGCCGCTGCAGAGAATTATCAAGAATATGGATTTTTCTATGCAACCTCGCCGGATATTGCATCACAACATTTCGATTTTGAGCATTTACCAGCGCTGCTGGTTTACAAAGATGAGCAACATTATGTATATCCACATGCACATGTCGTAGACACCATGGAGGGCACCGAAATTAATGAAACGGTTCATCATTGGGTGAATGTTGAGAGATTTACAACTTTTCCGAAAATCACGCGCTTCAATATAAATCAGTTAATGCTTACGAAGAAGTATCTTGTTGTAGCCGTAGTAGAGGAGGACAAACTAAACCAAGTAGCTACACATGAACTAGAATTCCGTGACATGGTTGAAGCAGTTATTCGTAAGCATCGCGATAGATATCATGATAAATTTCAATTTGGATGGGTAAGTGCGTACAAATTCATACAAACTATACCTCCTTATTAATTCTAAATATAATTTTTAGATTGGCGAACCTGGTATAGCACACTCTATTATATTGGATACATTGCCTACTCCTCATGTAATCGTGATCAACTCTACAACCCAACATCATTACATACCAGACGATGAACCTCTAAAAATTACACCGCAAGCACTTCACATCTTCCTAGAGTCGATTCATAATGAAAGCGCTACACCACTAGGTGGCGACACTTACTTTGTACGACTACGACGCGCATTTTTCGAAGCTAAGAAGGGATTGCGTGACATGTGGCAGGGCAATCCTGTACTTACTACTGTCATATTTGGATTGCCATTTGGATTTTTGTCACTCATTTTATATTCCATATTTTGTGGAGATTGCTTCGTGGCCTCAGACGAAGAAGATGATCACGAGAAGACAGAGTAAACTTTACGTAAAAAAAGCTTCCGCTTTTTAGAGCATTTAATTAGAACATTCATTTGAATTAATTTATATTTTCTAGTCTACTTAAATTGGTTTGTAGTTTAATTTATAGGTGCCATGTAAATTTGTTTTATATTCTTGTGTACATGTAAGAAACAAACTAAACACAAAAATATGTTATTATTTTTATTAGTTTTATAGAAGCGAATGTTTGATAGGAATAAAAAATTGCAATATATTTTACATTCCAACATCTTGCAATGCGTATTTGACCAAAAATAAAGCGTTCGATAATAAAATATTGAGAAAAACTAAATCGCTTATTTCTTTACTGAAGTCTGCGATATTAAGGTTTTTAATAATACATGGAAGCATCTCAGATATTAAGTCGAAAAAATTGTACCGATTCTAGATTTGGTCTTTGGCAGATCGTTTGGTCCAATTACGCAGTTCTAGAAACTCTTGATCTAAAAACCTGCATTATTAAAGGATGGTGATTTATTGTGGTATGAAAACTTTCATTTGCACATTTATTAATGATTCCTGTTTTTAATATTTATGCAGTATTTCTAGCATTAAAAATAAAACTTAGTTTTGCATAATGATCTGCAACGATACTAAAAATTTGCAATCATTTGCGCTGGCAAAAAAAATAGTGAATGGCCACGCGGCTATATTGAAAGCTGCTTTAACTTATAACATCATAATTTTCTGCGAGGGGCAAATAATCGTAAATAAGAGAATGCAACATTTAATTCTTAAGTGAATAAATACGTTTATCTACAATGTTGCATTGATTAGATTTTAAGCCACTGTCATACATATGTAGCCCTCGAGAGCATACGGCAATCAGCAACCATAATCATCATCATCGTCTGAGTCAATGGCGGCACGTCTTCGATCATATTTAACAGTTGATTTACTCTGTGGCATTTGAGCGTTTATACTTTCGAGAATACTTTTAAATTGGGTATCATCAAGTTTACCACGAACTTGACCCATTTGTGCCATACGTATGACCATATTTTCGAACATTTGTGCCTTTTCAGGTTTGCTTATTTTTAGTGTATTCACTGTGAATAGAAAAGGAATACCGATTCTAGGTTAAATATATGCGAATATTATGCTTGCAATATGTACTCACGTCGTGCGCGTGCCTGCTGGTCTAGCACTTGCGAGAGTATAGAGTGCTTCATTTCCTCCTGCTGACGCATCTGCTCCTGTTGTGCTTGTTGCTTTTCTGCATTGTTGCCACCGCTGCCACCCTACAAGCGAAAAACTATTTTAAGTAATTGCAATTTATTTTCCGCTTTTGATAACTCTTTACTAGAGTTCAGGAGAGGATTTAGGGTTTTAATTACGGTAACTACCGGTCCCCTATTCTATTTTTGGTATTCGCTTATACTTTGTCCCACCAACCCGTTACCAATAACCGGCACCTGTTTGGACTACCGCTAATCGTTTGCAAAGATCAATACTTACATATTGCTGCTGTAATTGCGCCAAACGCTCAGCTCGTAAAGCATCCAAATCATTGTCTGCCATTATAATTCTTTAATAGATATTTCTTTGTTTTTAAATCGTAGAAAAATGGCAAAAATAACCACACTAGAAAACTGATGGAAAATGCTCCGATTGGGTTAGTCACTTTTGACATTAATGCAGTGATGCCACTCATTTATAATTGGTTGACACTATTCTGGTACGATTTGGGACTGAAACAGTAGAGGTATTCTTTTGCAGCAAAATTGTGAAGTGCTATTTAGCAAACAGTCTTTAGACTATGGAAGATTTCGCCTAGTAAATTGCGTTTTCGTATCTACTTTTGGTTGCTGTTGTTGATGTAACAACATACAGATTCTCCCAAGAGGTTTTGGGGAGTGTTGCTGGAGTGACAGTCCTTGGCCAGATATAAATCTGGGTCGTTCCGGTTACGTAGATCCGACTGCCGTAGGAACGCGCTATTTTTGGTCGTAAAGTCCGAAAGAAATATTGCGCCTGATTTATTAAAAGTAAGCTAATGCTCCGACTTAATTTTCTGAGCTTAAGCTCACTCTTAATGAATGAGGCGCAATATTTCTTTCGGACTTGACGACCAAAAATAGCGCGTTCCTACGGCAGTCGGATCTACGTAACCGGAACGACCCAGGGACTATGACGGTCCATGCTGTGTTGCTCGGTCGCAAGTGCCAACTGCGACGCCGCCCACCACCACTATAGGGCAATAGCCTGTTCAGTAGCACGTACAGCAAATGGCGGGCAGGAAATACGCCTCACTGACACCCCACATTCCAATAAGTCTCCCTAGGCACAGGAAGATTTTACATTTTAACAAGATCGAGGAGAAAACGGCCTTCATGGGGCGGTATGGAATATTAATATAATCGTAGGGGAACATACTTGACTCAGCAGATAGACGATTCGACATTCTGGACAATGAACGACGACTCTCCCACCAGGATTATGAGCAGCTGCTGCAGCTCGCCAGACCTAAAAATTGTCAGCTGTCATGCTGTCTTAAGCATCAGACCATCTGCCCATAGTCAATCGATGTATAAACCTGCTAACTTTGCTTCCGCGGATCACCAAACCTATGTCAACTTCTCCAAAGCTGACTCGGGAGGCTTCACGGATGTTACTGAAAGCACCTTCACTGCCCTACCCACACCAACCGACGTTCACGTAGATGAGCGTAAATTCCGCAGGGTTGTCATTGCTGCTGCAGCCCGCTTTATTCCAGCAAGATGCATTTCAGAACCCCGTCCGGCCGATCCCAGAAATCCCCGTATCAGGGATCTCAACTCTGAGATTCGGCAATTAGTGAACGTACATAAGCGGAAGAAGTGGGAAGAGCCTCTGAAGACCTGAAACTTCGCCTCTGGTGTGAGCAAGCATTGGTCAACCATGAGGTCATTGTCCAACCCGAGGAACCGTAACGACGTAGTTGAAATATCTTTTGGTGACCACTCTTTGGAGCGATGAGCGAGCTATTTTAGCCGACAGTTCATACTGCATCCTCCGGCGGACAAAGCCAAACGTCGAGTGACCAGAAGGCTCCACAAACTGCCAACACCAAGTGCGCCTCTTGTTTTCACCAGCGGCGAGCCATCGGGAAGCCGAAAGCCTCCAAAGCCATTGGACCCGACGGAATTTGTACGCTGATGCTGAAAAATTTGGGCCCTGCGGGAGCGGACTATCTAACCAAGGTCCTCAACCACTCCCATCATTCCAGATATCTGGAAAATGGGGGAGGGTGGTCCCACCGCTTAAACCGGGGAATAACTCGTGGCCTTAACCGAAACCACTGCTGTGAGAGAACTATTCTAGTAGCGTTGGACTTGTCCAAGACCTTCGACACTGTCAGCCACTCAACGCTATTAAAAGATATAGAGGCCTCAGGAACCCAAACGGTGGTCGGCGAATTATCTGAGTGGTCGGTACTCGTCAGTAATCTTTAGAGACAAATCGAGCAAACCTAGTAAAATAAAAAAGGGGGTTCCTCAGGGTGGTGTCTTTTCCGCACTACTATTCAACTTTTACATTTCTAAGCTCCCTCAGCCACCAGAGGGAGTCTCTATAGACTCTTATGCTGACGATTGCTCGATAATGGTGTCTGGGAATGGAATTGATGACTTGCGCTCGAAAGTAAACGGTTATCTCTCCGACCTTCTCGCTTCTTCACTGCAAGGAGCCTAACCCTCTCCCCTACAAAATCCTCAGCAACGCCTATCACTACTTGGACGAAGGAGGTCGGACTTACCTTCGACATTCTGCTCTCCTTCTCGGCGCATACAACCTCAATTGTCAATAAAGTACAAAGCCGCAACAAGATCCTCAAGTCGCTTGCCGGCAGAACCTGGGGCAAATACAAAGGATCGTTGTTGGCAATGTACAAGGCAATTAGCCGGCCGGTTCTGAACTATGCAGCGCCTGTGTGGACGCGGGGGACTAGTAGGACGCAGTGGATGAAGCTGCAGACCTGCCAAAACATGGTACTCAGGACAGCGACAGGATGCCTTCTGATGTCGCCGCAACATCACCTGCAAGACGAGGCCCATATGCTCCCGATTAAGGAGCATAACACAATGCTCTGCAAGAAATTCCTAGTAGGGTATCTTCGTGTGCACCCGAACAGACATCTGCTTGCGGAAGAACCCTCGCCACGGCACGTCAGAAGGTATCTATATGAACTGACGGACGAAATCCAGAGGCTCACCGAGAGGCCTTGAACGGCATTCACAGAGAGTCAGTCAGTTTCCAGTTATATTGACCCTCGACCTGTGAATACCCCTCTGGGAACACAACCATCAGACGTGGACGAGACAGAGCTTCGTCTGCCTCGGGAGACTCGGACCTCAAGAGATGAAAGAGCAACTAAAATGACGGTAGGGGCGGAACGACAATTCTTCAATAAAATAATACGACGATGGAGACGAAACACCAACGACAACATGGGAAACTGTAGAAGAAGAAACGACAATTCTTCAATAAAATAATATAGACGACAACAAAAGGAACAAACACGACAAAAGACGAATCTGTAGAAGACTACACAACTTTTCAAGAAAATCATAGTGAAATAATAATCTGTTCAACAAAATATAAAAGCTACTTCGGCGAGAGCTAAAGAAACAACTTCTAAAATGACAGAAGAGGGTGCAACAGAAGAAACTCGAAAGACCACATTAGACCCGGAAGAAAGGTAGGAGTTTCAAAATTTTTAAGTTTTTTGTTCTTAAATTAAGTTTTTTATTAAAAAATGCTATATCTGTCTGGGAAAAATTAACTGGCCATTGACAATGATGAAGAGGGCGATACGAAATATGGGCTGGATATTGTGATACTTATTTCATTTATGTAAACTTGAAATATCATTATTAATATAACTAAGTCATGCAAGTGCATTTTCTTAGGTTTGATAAGTAGAAACATTCATATAACTCGGAGGCGTATTTTACCTAAATATAATTGCCAAGGAAAATGGTTACGAAGAAGGCAGATTTTACTGGAATGCGTTCACAGAAAGTATGTACGGGCTTGTAAGGCTTATAAAAAGACGTTTTGAGTTTTTAAATTTTAATTAGCATTGACCGAACTTCCGTAATATGAATGGAGTAAAATTCTTTTGAGTCTTATGATTTAAATAAAAAAGGTACTATTACAACTTAAAAATATCGCAGCCTTAAATAAACAGATAACGCTGCCGTGGAATGATATAATAGAATGTTTTTAATAAAAATAAGCTAAGTGAATCATACTTTTAGCTAATAAAGCAAGAATGTGGTGCTGCTTAAAAGTAAAATACTTCTATTAAAATGGAAAATTATGGAATACTGCATCTTTGGAGATAATTCAAATAGGTTTTAGGCTAGGTATTATGAAAAGCTTTCCAATGAAATATGCTGCCATTGACCCTGAAAAACAAAATTTTGAAGTAAATTGTTTAGGAAATTGTTAAATTGCATACCGGTATGCCCAAATTCCAACCGGCACCTGCTGGATTCTCCTTGGTTATACCACAACGTTTACAAACGATGCCATTTTGTGCAATCGCCCAAACTTCCGTGCCTACAGAGACCGATTTGAAACCGATATGCGTCTCAGTATGTGGAGGAATATTTGGCATATTCGGCAAGAACTGCCAATGTGAACCCTCTGGGAATGTTTTAGTTATTTCTTTGCGCACAGCCAAGCGATTGTGGTTGTCTAAAGCCCAAATACCAGCGTGCCCCACAGATACCGTGCGGAATGTTGTGCCAGGAGGAGTTTCCACCATTTGCCAAGCTTCACCTGTGTTGATTGAAATGATATAACTACTGCTTGGATACATTTATATAAGCACCAGTGAAAGGTATAATTAAATAAATAATTGCACAAGTTTCAGAACTAGTAAGTGCGGAATTCTTCCGTTGCTTATGTGCGGGGAATTTTCCATTTATTATGGAAACAATGAATATAAACGTAACTCACCCAATGGATTGTGTCTAGTAATGCCATAACGAAAATATATCATGCCATTTCGTCCAACAGTCCATACTTGTCCCGTTGGCCCCACGCTAATTGCAATCAACGGCTGTTCACTTGGTATGTGTTCCCAACTATCACCTCGCGCATTTTGTTGCGTAACACCATGCCGTATCAATACATCCCCATTCGATGCCACTGCCCAAGCGCAGACGGGCAAATCCTCCCAATCGCTTAAACTATTAGCGCTATCGGCATCACCACCAAGCACTTGTAACGAGGCATCTAATATTTTCGAGTGACTAAGCTCCTGCCATGGACCGCTACTAGTCAGTCGGCATTTCTTTAGCCAACGTCGTCTGCGCACACAATCGGTGATTTTTTTGTGAGCATGATAGGTTGCTGGNGATCAGCGAGGGACAACGATAGACAATATTAAATAGTTTTACACGTCCGCTAACGTAAAGACAAGTCACGGCGGCAGGATCTGTGCGGTACTTGTAGTCGGCGAAGTGCATGCTATTCACATGCAATTGATAATGGTGTTCCAAAGCTCTGCGTTAGAAGAAAGAATATAGTTAAAGGCATTCTAAAGGGCAACGGAATAATTCGCTTACTTGATGCGGAGCGTGAAAGTCGCACCAGGTGCGAATACCACTTTATCATTACGTATTTCATTAAGCCATTCTGAGTCACACATGCTATTCAGAACTATGGTATTCTCATTGAATCTGGGTATGAAAATTGATATAACATCATCTACAAGAAAATAAGAAAGTTTGTACATTCACTTTATTTACCTTGGATTAATATGCATCGCAATGACACGGAATTTTTCCACCCTGGGATGTGTTTTTATATTTGGATGGCACTGTAAATCAAAGCGTATTTGATCTGCATCGTCGTAAACACAACCAGACACCTCCAGTTCTGTACCAATAGGCATTCTGTAACATTAAACATATATTATAAACAAAGCATTAAACATATAAGTATTTTTTTTTTTACCGACCCATTATATAGTGTGTTGTAGTAAGGTGTTTCCATTGTATTCACATCGAACTTCTCAACATAACAATTGCGTTCTTTGTCCAACTGATTTGCCTTCATATTGAGTGGATCGAAAACGAATACTTCGCCTAGGTCACTGGTGATCCAAATGGAATTGTTCGCAGGCTTGCCCAACACTTCATTTATTTGACAACAAACAGAACTGAGATGAGATAGCCAATCCTCCATTTCGGCATCACTGGAGAATTGCAATTTTATTGGTGAACAATTGATTGGCAAACGTGGTGCGTGCAGCGCGATACGCGGTGAAGACGGCTCGCTACAGCACTGCACACATGTGATAGCTGACAGTGAAAACTGAATTTTTGTAGTAACACCATCTGGATTGAGCACAGTAAATGTACCGGAATCGGAGTCTGCGATAGTTGTGCTGGCATCTGCTGCACCGGCACTGCCCGTTGCACCACTCACCCATTCTAATTCGATTAAACAATCTTCGAATTCTCCACCGGGCCGTTGATAACGTGCCTCCGCTGATTTAATCCATGAGCTCAGCTCGATTGCCTTTTCGTATTTTTCTACGTGATTCAATTTTTTTAGTTTCTCCTTTTGTTTTTGTAACTTGCCAATAATATCTTTTCGCCATGTTGCATCTACATCTACTCTGCCGTTGCTAGATGCTTGCTCGTTAAACCAATTGGGTGCGTTTGCTGGATCAACGCTTACGCCACCAGCTGCAACGCAACTCCACATAACCTCGCATTCGGTCCAAAATTGCGAACCAGCATGATCTTCATCCTCACCCAGATATGCATCGGAGCCATGGTGTGTTGAGTCTGATTCGAACACGGCAGAATCACTCTCCGGATGTGCCTCTGTGCCGACTATGGAGCCAACGCTACGCACTGGTGACCAGGCGCGCGGATTCTTTAGCTGAGTTTCGAAGTGCTTGCCTGCGATTTCAGTTACGACCTCGGTCGCGGGCGCACTGGATGCGTGTGCTGCATGTTCTCGCATCGCAGAAGTGCGTTTCTTATGGCGCTCATTTAAATTCAAACTACCGATGTTGGGCGGTGAATCAGCGGAATATTTCCAGATGTCGCTTTTGAGCCGCGCCTGCGCTGCTGCTGCACCCGTTGCGCTGCTATTCGTGGAAGCAGGGCTGGCGGACACATTTTCAATGGGTGCACATGTCTCTACAACACCTTTTTCCTTATCCTTGCTATACAAATTTGAGAAACTCTGATGCTTTGAACCGGGTGTTGAGCCACTGCCACTGCGTCGTGACACAATCGACATGGAGCTAGACGTGCGACTTATCTGCATAGGGCACTGAATTTGCCGCCATTGCTTGCCAGTCGGATCAGAAGTGGACACGCCTGAGCGAAAGTATAGTGCACGATCCGATGAACCGACAGCGAAAACTTGATCATTAGGTGCTACAGATATCGACGATATGTTCACAATCATCTCTACCCAACCACTGCCAATGGCAGCGTCCTCGCTAATACCAGCGGCTTCACCTTTGACACCGCGTCGGAACCATACATGGCTATCATTGGTCACACACCAAACAGTATCGGTACCCACTGAGACTTGGCTGATTTTGAGTGGGCTCGACGAATCATTGCTACTAATTGGAGGCTTGACATCTAGCCACGCTTCACCCGAGAGATTTTCGCGCGTTACTCCAGTACGTACAATAGCGCGTCCATTATATAGCACCGCCCAGACAAGACCAGTCGGACCAACACTTATTTGTGCCAACTCACAGCCGGGAGGAGTGTTAATTGCATTCCAGCGAAGACCTTCTGGTGCAGAAGTGCTTACGCCGGTGCGAAACATTGCCTGAAGGATGGAAAAATAAAAACTAGTTTTACTAGCAAAGTAAGTGAACAAATTAATAAAATCATACCCTTCCGTGTGCAGTGATAGCCCACACGATCATAGTACCCAATGGTGCATTTGGTACATTTGTGCCCCCAACAGAAACATCAATAAAAGGCTCTTGTGTGGGGTCTTTATGTAGTGGCGCTACGGCACACCAGCTGNTAAAAATAAAAACTAGTTTTACTAGCATAGTAAGTGAACAAATTACGTAAATCATACCCTTCCGTGTGCAGTGATAGCCCACACGATCATAGTACCCAATGGTGCATTTGGTACATTTGTGCCCCCAACAGAAACATCAATAAAAGGCTCTTGTGTGGGGTCTTTATGTAGTGGCGCTACGGCACACCAGCTGTTCAGCGCACTATAGCGGCGAAAACGTACCTGCGAGAATAGTTTTTTTTTAATAAGTACCTAATAATATACAATTTGTTTCAATTTAAATAATCGTATTAAGAACTCACCCATTTTCTACGCCGTACATACGAGTTCCATGAATTTTTCGCCGAGTATGTAGCGGGAAAATCTAACGCATACATCCAACCGTCTTCCGCCAACTGCTGACCGTCCATATCAAGATCTAAATGCCAGTCTCCATCCCATTGCCACGCCATTGATGGCAACCTTACCTTATCAATGTTNAGGGTCTTTATGTAGTGGCGCTACGGCACACCAGCTGTTCAGCGCACTATAGCGGCGAAAACGTACCTGCGAGAATAGTTTTTTTTAATAAGTACCTAATAAAATACAATTTGTTTCAATTTAAATAATCGTATTAATAACTCACCCATTTTCTACGCCGTACATACGAGTTCCATGAATTCTTCGCCGAGTATGTAGCGGGAAAATCTAACGCATACATCCAACCATCTTCCGCTAACTGCTGACCGTCCATATCAAGATCTAAATGCCAATCTCCATCCCATTGCCACGCCATTGATGGCAACCTTACCTTATCAATGTTGCGTTCCACACTGCCATCAGCTGAGGAGAACTTATAGCGATCGGTAGGCAACAACTTTTTCGAAAATCCTTCAATCGGTAACCAGCGTTCATTCTCGTACGACTCTTCTTTGACGCGTATGGGCACATCTAAGCCAAATACATACACATAGACTTGACGATCACCACCAATGGCCCAAACAAAATGTGGCACAGCAGCAATTTTTTTGAACTCTAAACCCAAGTATGGGAACTCTCGCCAAGAGGAAGAATTGGTTGACAGTGTATACACGCGGCCTTCACTATTGGTGGCAAATAACAATGAGCTAGGCATGCTGCAACTATTGGAAGAACATACAATGGAACAATGGTGTCATACAAATTACGTTAGTTTTTTATGTAGTTATAAAAACGCATATTGATAATGATAACATTTGTTAGGAGTGCTTAAATGTATGCAATTGCTTAACGCTAGTTCAGTGAAGCGTTTTTCATTTTTGTACAAAATCGATGCAGCATTGTTATAGACATTGCAATAATTCTAATATGTAACTGAAACAAGAGTTATGCAAACCAAATTTACACATAAAAATCGATTAAAATACTTTAGAAAGAGATGTTTTCTGGCACTAACCTCTTTTTTATTCATTCAGTTTTTTTAAATAGTTTCCCCAATTAAATATACCTAGTTCGAGGAATTTTTTGCTAAACGTTGTTTGGCAGCGATTGATTCTTCTACTTTCGCATTTTTGAACTCAGTTAAGCCAAATATGCACATATGTATTTGTAAATAATTAATTATTTTGTACAAATGTTTTACTTTATGGCTTTTCACTTTTTTTGCGTCCACACAAAGGCGTGATTCACTTTCACCACTCCTTGCTCGTCCTGCAAAAAAATTTGCAATAACAATTACCGACTCCTTTGTGTCTGCTGCCGTATTATCAATTATCAGCTGATGGAGATTTGTTTACATTTTCCGATCCGAGTGATGCCATGCAGTAGATTAGAAAAATACCTTAAAACAGTAACAATCTTCTCCAAAACTCTAAATTTATTGCATTGACACAGATATTCGTATTCAAATCTTCAAGAAGAGTTATAAAAATTCTCTACATTCGAAAATGTGGGCACTAAAATATCAAACGTTTCTTCAATCAGAATATCAAAAAAAAATTTGGGTATGCTATTTCGTAATCCATAAAATTTTAGTATACTATTCTGCAAGTTCACCATTCCTATAAGTTTATGGAAAAGCGAAATTTCATTCAAATTATTAGTCTTTGTTGTTCATACGAAACAAAATAACTTTCGGTTTCGGCTAGTATCCTATTAAAATCCTCCAAGAAAATGAAAAACAATCTTGCGATACGGCATCACCATTCCGAAAGTGTTAAAAGAGGAAACGAATAATTTGCAGTGTTGCATTTAAAAATAGTAATGGCATCGGATCGGATATATCGATAATTAAATTTCCGATTACACATACTATCAGCTGAAATATGCTTCTTTTAATGATTTTTATAAGTTTTTTTTTATTTTTATTATAAATGTACATAAGTTTTATGGTATATGAAAGCGTTCAAATTTTCCATCCAAGCTCTCATCATTTTTGCACTTATGTTGATTAATCAGTCCGTTACAATGGTCTGCTGAAAAAGTTTAAGCAGCAGTGACCACGTTCGGCCAGTTAAAGACGAACTATTCCTGTTCATTGCTTTGGAAAGCGATGTACTACGACGCAGGAAGCAGAGGTGGCGCCGTAAGAGGTACTGATAATTTCGCTATGCACTGAAATTCACTTATAATTTCAAAAAATTAGTTCTTTTTATAAGTCGTATATATTTACAATTTAACACAATGAAACCAAGTTTCTTATCGAAAAGTTGAATATTAAGAAAATTTACGGTTTTGATAGTTTCTTTTATCTTCCTGATCAGCTTACTTTACTTTTCCTTGAGAAATGTCTTCGCTGCCAGGACGGCGCAATCTTGTATTCTATCATTCTGGGCACAGTACAGCCTTCTGCCTTCCTTGACTACAACGTACCTCCCGCAGATGAGGAAGATGGCCGAAAGTGCAAGGTGATTGGGGAAATAGAAGAATCATTGGCGAAACGACGGTAATGCGGGTTGGCCAGGAATCAACCAAGGTCACCTGGGTTGGCAACCCTCTGACATATAAAAAAGCTTATCACATAAGAGAACCATCCGCCCTGCAATTCAGATTCATCATAAAACTGTGAGTTATTTTATTTGTGTGACAAATGCTGATTTAAATTTGGTGTCACGTATGACGCTTGAGGTCTAAATCCTGGTTAGGCTTGAACGACGGGAAGACGTGCTTTCCAATATGAAAGGTGCTGTGCCTATCGGTTTTGGATTGTGGCCAACGTCACTCTGCACATCATTAGCCGCCATCGATTCGCCAACAGTTAGCGAGTGGCGAAACGAACGAAACGCGAGCGAGCGAGAAGTGGTGAGTCGATGCCGGCTATTATTAAATAGTTAAGCGGAGATGCCAAATTTAGACCAGCTCTTTGCTGAAGGCTTTGAATACTCAGCCGTTGACTCCAGGGGGTTTCCTCTTTCATTTAGGCCATGTTTAAGCGACTTATGCACTTCCCGCACAAACAAAGTGCTGCGAACACATATACGCACTTGTATTTAAAAGTAATTCGCTCGTTCTTAATTGGGTATGCAGTTCTCAAATCTCTCTTCGCTGAACATAGTGAAGTGATAATTCGCTGGCATTTCCGGCCATGGTCAACGCTAAACCAGCTTGGCTATTACACGGTGCTTTAAGTATCGCTCCCACTCCGCTTTCGGAGTAATTTTTGATATGGTAGTAAGCTACGGCTTAAAATCCACACAGGGGCTCTACATTAATCCATCCCTGAATAAATTCCAGCTCATTGCACAGCAGCATACCGCCGCTAGAGCATGATTCCTCCAATGGATTCCCCAATTGATAAATGGTAAAAGGGCCTCATCATGCGCTACCGCTTCATCGGCCTGCCTGCATATATCTCTAGGGACTTTTACGTGGCGGGTTCCAAACCCTCCGACCAATTAGATCCTTGTCACCTTTTAATTGGAAACTTTTTTATTTAGCGAATGATTCGATGTGGCCCCACCAATGCTGTCCCGATTACTGCACGAACGTAGTTATAGAAATTCGCTTTGAGTTAAGTCAAAGAACAATGACTGACAGACCCCACATTTGATGACGAAAGAGCAAAAAAATAATTTTTCAGAGATTACAGAAAAGATCACTGGGTATTAAGAAGATTTGTCAGCACCATCAATACATTTTGCGGTACCTAGCTTCTTCTGGCTCTGGTGAGATTCTCGACTCATCCAATAATGGAAATCTCCGTGGGATCCTGGAACTAATAGCTCAAAAAGACCCTTGGACATAGCAAAGAATACGGAAATAAGGGACGCGGGCACGTGAATTATTTATCCTCAACAACCTGCGAGGAAATAATAACTTTGAGGGGTAAGAAAGTACAGGCAGAAATAATAAGCCGGATCAAAAAGACAGAATAATCGCACTATTCCATATCTGTTCATAAATGGGAATGCCGGTGTCAGTCGTTTAATACTGCATGCAACATGAGCGGCAACTACAAAGAATTCAGGCGAGAATTTCAGAAAGAAAATATTTGGTAAAAGGTCAATAATTAACGAGACTTTTAAAATTAAACTATATATTTTTTCCCCCAATTAATTGTATGTAATTATTAACTCAAAACGGTGCCCCCATATGTATAGCGGGCTCAGGGCCCACATTCTTAATCCGGCACTGATTAGTGCTATATCCTTATCGTCGGGGTTCAGCCAACTCGTATGTAAGGTAATAAATATGTATCAGTTCAGGTGTGAAATAATTTACATCTACATACATACATACATATATGAACAATCTTCAATCCCCTCCTAAAAACCAAAGTGAGAAAGAAAAACTGGCCGAATTAATTTTCAAAAGCAACGACAACGCAACAAAAGGATACTTCAAGTAAACAGTTGTGACAACTGATGGCAAGATAAGCCGGCAGAGCAACCACTTATTCGTCACCTACATACATACATATATTTGTACATTTCAACAAATGTACATTAGGCTGCATCACAAAAAAAATAATTGCGGATTTTCCAATGGAATCATAAAATTTATTACTTGTTGAGATTTCCTCCAAAAAAATATTTCGGAAAAATATCAGGATTCGAGTGAGCTAGACAGATTTGAAAATATGTACCTTCAAAAATCGCATTATTTTGATTTTATAAAATTTGTACATATTTTTAAGAAGACGTTTTCAGCTCAAACTCTTCTAAAATCTGAGTTGATTTAAAAAAAAAAATATTCTAAAAAACAATTTTTTTTATGTATAAAAGCTCGACTTTTACAGGTAATTTCAAATAATTCTAGCTCACGTAAGTCTTAATATTTTTCCAAAATATTTTGCCGGAAGTCTTAAAATATTGGCTGCATTTCTTTATTCACTCTGAACGTTTGGAATAAACTTTTTTGTTTACTTATTCTTTAGAACGTTCCTGATGATATGTCAACGTATATTTCAAACGCATTCTGTTTATTCCGGCTGTGAAATGGGATTATCCGGAATGTATAAAGAAACGCAGCCATTATAAATAGATATTTCCGATTGAAAAAAATTATCGATATTTTTTTTTTGTACGAAGAGTGATGCACCCTAATGTACATACATACATTCATGAATATGCAAGCATATTGGCCACTTGCTTTAGCTTTTACGGTACGACAGCTAACGGCTATAGAAAAACTTGACGCACGGAACGTTTGTTATTTGGAAGCGCTGAACCATTTGCGATTGTTTGGTTGATTGTAACGCCATCTTGGTGCCACATGTTGTACTCAGGTTTCTTGTTCTCCTACTGACCTTCACTTTCACTTCACTGGTCATTATAGCTGGTAGTTGTGTTCAAAATAAGCTGACAAACATACTACATACAAACAGTATAAAACATGCCGACCACAATTCTAACCTATTTTAGGACAATACGTACTACGTTGGTTCTTTCCTGATTGCACTTGAATTTCTTGTAGTTTTGTGGCATTTTCAAACAAAAGTTGAGAAACTGAGAATGCCTCCCTGTGAGTGAGTGTGTTTCTAAATAACTATGTACATTTGTACACTTTGTTTGTCACACTTTCAAATTTTAAATTTAAATTTTTTTAATTCTTTCGTCAAGTAATTTGCTGCTACTATTTTAGAAAACCGTTTAATTGCCGTACAATAAACTTAACTTCGGTGCCAAGCTTGGCATTATTAACGCTTGTAGGCGTTGTTTCCACATGCAATTTTTTGTAATTTAGGCCGTGGTTCCAATAGTGTGGAATTAGTCCTTGCTTTGTCGGGATTTGATAGCCTTCGTGGCGTGGAGTGTTTCTTGCATTGCACAAAGATGAAAAAACGAAAAATGCGGTCACTTTAATTAAGTCTGGGGACTACGCTGTAATGCAATAAGAAAGCGAAATGCGGTGCGATAGGCAATCGCCTTCACATCGAATTGTTCTTTCGTATCCCATTACAGTTATTATATAGCCCCATATGTCGTACCTTTCTTTGCCAATTCGTCAGCTTTAAAAGTACCCTCAATATTCTAGCACCCAGGCATCCATATGTTGGGCCATACCATTCGCAGATCTACGGCATTCAGCAACAGGTACTGATACTGGTATTTTCTTTGATTCAATGAGTCGGCTTCTCACTCTTACAAGAGGCGGGCATTCTTAAAGAAAGTGTTTGTGTTTGGCTCCTTCCTACCCGGCTCTTTGCAGCTACAGTAGAATCTGTTGATAGGCATCCCGATCGTTTTGACTAATGTCATTTACAGATATGCGGGAATTTTATATTAATTTTCCTTAGTCATTCCAAACAAAGCACTAGTTTTAAATGGGTGAAGGGTGTTCCAGA